AGGCTGCGGGCTGCTTGATGGTGTATGCAGAGCCCAACTCTCATTCCAGGGGATGTCTGGATCTGTGAAGGTGAGTGGTTTTCTCTCTTGCCCAGGGTGGGGTGTCAGGGGGGTGGTGTTGGTTGGTATCAGGTTCTCTCCATGGGGGGGATTTTTTTGCACAAAACCTAAACACACCACTGTGTGTGCCCCCAACCTCCCCTATTTTCCACCAGCAGCTGCAAGCACACAATAGGATCCTTCAGGATGAAAAAGTTGGGGAAGGGTCCTCTAAATATGTCACATTTACCAGCCCTTTCCTTTTCTGAACGAACACAATAAGTGATTGATAGCAATCACTCACTGTGTTCATTCATAACTGAAGCCTAGTAAACTGTGTTTTTGTTTTGTTTTTTGATGGGGGGCCCTGTCAGGCTGTATGGGGCCCCGTGGTTTCTAACAGCAACTCTGGCTGTCACTGTTGCATCAGAATTCAAGATTCGTAGCCTTGTTCCAGGGCAGCAAAGAAAAGACGGAAGCCTTTGGATCAGTAGGACACCAGACGTAGAGGTCCTCGATGGTGGTCCTCCCGTTATTTTGTAAATCCGGGAAGTGAGGCCCCAAATATGTATCTCCAGCTAACAGAATAAGAAGTCATTAGGCTTGGTTTAGACATACAGATGTGACCGAGTGCAGGCGTGTTTCCACGCTTCCATTCATTTCAATGGGCTGCCCTACGCACAAGAAGCACTTAAGAGAACTCCCTGAGGCTAGGTTCACATATGTGTGTGCGCGTTTGTGCACGTGCGTCGCAGATACAGCAGACCATTCATTTGAATGGGCTGCTGTGCCTACAAGAATTGCAGGAAAGAAGTCTCCAGCCCTTTTTTTTTTTTTTCTAAAAACGCACCACACGGAAATCCATGGTGCTGCAGCTTCACGTGTGCCAAAGTGTGGGGGTGCTATTAGGAATTAATCTGCTGAACAGCATTCCCGACCCTCACATACGTGAACCTAGGCTGACTCTTTTTCCCTATTCCTAAAATGCGTATGGTGCATGCAGTTTGGCACGTGCGAAAATGTTTGCAGATGTGTAGGGGAGCGACCACCGTGGAGGTAGGCATCCTTAAAGAGCTGGAGATCTACCTGAACAACATGGGAGAAGTCAAAGATCTCCGGGCACCTCCTCACACCCGATTTAAACCTCTAATTACTGTACTACCGTGTCACAATTGCGTGCATTGCGCGGCAATCATGGGTTTAAATCAGGTGGTGAGGAGGCAACTTATCGCCAACACACTTGGATCGCTTTGCAGAGGAGCAAAAGTATCTGCTGCACTTGTAAATGAGCCTTTAGTTGCATCTAGCAGCGGAACTCTTGGGGCTCGTTCAAATGTAATGTTGGGGGGGGGGGGGGGTAAAACCCTGCGGTTGAGTCACAGTTTTGCTGCCCCCAATCCCTACCCCCTTTAACTGCTGAGGCAGCAGCGAAAGGTATACACATGATGCAGCACTAATTACAGCCCTCTGTTGCATTTGGTGGGTGCTACTACCTGTCAGTCAAGTAGATGGGGCCAATCTGTAAGTGCCTCACAACTGAATGCTTCTGCAGGGTCCAAGAGGTTAAACCAGATGGTGAGAAAGCAACACAATGCTGCCTGTTTAACCATTTGTTTGCTTCATTTGCCAATCCCTATCTCCCCCCATCTCCTCTTTACCTGTTATGCTGGGTTTTCTTTAAAATACATAATCACCTGTCTAGCAGATACAACATTGTCCTGCAGCAGGGGTGTCCCTAGGCAGGTGCTGGGGGATGCGCGCCGCACCGGGTGACACCTCTGGCACAGGGTGACACTGGACCCGCTCCATGAAAAGGTAAGTTTTAAAGCAAGCCCACGAACCCCGCAGGATGGATCGGATGTGCGGATTAAGCATAAGGGATCGGAGTCTGATCGATTATCCTCCCCAATCCGCAGATCCCATCCATCCTGCGGGGATCATCAGCTTGATTTACAACTTACCTTTTCGTGGAGCTCGTGGAGAGATCAGTTATTACCGTATAGGTTGCATGCCGATGATCCCCGCAGGATGGATCGGATCTGCGGATTGGAGAAGATAATGGATCGGACTCTGATCCTTTAAGCTCAATCCACAGATCCGATCCATCCTGTGGGGATCATCAGAGGGGGTGTCACCGAGTGTTCCCTCATTGGGTGACACCAACCCTAGGGACGCCCCTATCCTGCAGCAATCTGCTCTTTCAGCCTCCTGCACCACTAACTGGGTCCTGCCAGTACACCTGCCTGTAGAGGGTTCAAGCAGCCCAGCCCCCGACAACCAAATCAAGCCCACAGCTTCCTGGGATATGTGACCGGAACATGGTAGAAGGCTGTGGGAGTAGGACATGTCATTCTCACCTAGGTGGGAACTGAAGTAGCAGGTGAGATGCCAGGAAAAAAAAATAGCCACCCCACCCACAAAAAGGACCACAGGCAGGGGCGGACTGACAACTCATGGGGCCCCCGGGCAATAGGGGATCATGGGGCCCCTGTGTCCTTGCCCAAATGCAAAAACACCTATGAAAAAGGTACCAGGGGCATCTCATGGGGCCCCCTACTGACCCCGGGCCCTCGGGCAGTGCCCAAGTTTCCAAATGGTCAGTCTGCCCCTGACCACAGGCTATTATTAGGCCTCGTACACAGGGCTTTTATGCAGCCACTTTTAGTTTTTTTGTTTTTTTTTTACTGCTTCCAAATGGCCCTCTATGTTGCCCTATGTGTCCATGCACACATAGACTTTTAGAAGCTTTTAGTAGCATTTACCAGCAGGAGAAAAAAAACCCAGGGCCAGTGCATCCAGGAACATCAGCCTTTTGGCAGAAAAAATGCTTGACATGTGTAAACGGCCAGAATAAATGATCATTCTGGCCAATGAAGTGAATTAACTCCCAAGAGCTTGACACTTGTCAAAGCACCTAAACGCTTGTAAAAGGGTTAGACACTCTGACAAGCGTCAGGAGTTTTTCTGGCAAATCGCTGCTGCCGATAGGAGGAGCGTTTATAAAACGTCCTGTGTGCATGAGGTCTTATTGTGAATGGGGGCAGAGCCATTGACCTAAAGTAAATTTGTGGACTGAAGCAGTGGTGTATTTAGATTTTGTGCTGCCCTAGGCAACACAAAAATTTGCTCCCCCCCCACGCAGAAAGAGCCTGCCATTGACCAACAACACCCCTGCCCTCCATCCAAGCCTTGCACTACCACTGCCCCCCATACACCAACCACCATCCCCCATGGTGAGAGAGAGAGAGATACTCATCTTCACAGCTCCGGACAACCCCAGGAACGAGAGTCGGGATGTGCATACACCATCATGAAACCCACAGGTCCCCATACCACATGTCTCTTCTTCCTTCTCTTCTTCCAAGGGGCAGTGCTGCCCCCCTGAAAAATGCCGCCCTAAGCAAAGGCCTTGTTTGCCTTGTGGTAAGTACACCCTTGGACTGAAGTCCAACTTTAATAAAGCCAGTTCATTGGCTCTCCATAAATCGGGGTACCCTTGAAGATGGGTCACCTGAACTGAGAAGCCTATGTATATTTGAACCAGGAGGAGAGCTAGTCAGACATTCTGGGAGTCCTAAAGAGTTTTGATAAATCCACAAATGACAACAGAAGACCTAAGGCAGCCGACATGTTTTGGGGACCAAAAAATCCCCCTTCATCAGGGCTGTGCTGCTGACACAGGTTTTCACTTACTGATCACCCTCCTTGGTCTAGACCAGGGGTGGGCAACTGTGGCCCTCCAGCTGTTGGTGAACTACAAGTTCCATCATGCCTCTGCCTTTGGGAGTCATGCTTGTAACTGTCAGTTTTGCAATGCCTCATGGGACTTGTTGTACTACAACAGCTGGAGGGCCACAGTTGCCCACCCCTGGTCTATACTGATAATTCCAGGAGTATTGCTATAGGAGTCCTATATACATGTCTAAAAGTGCTAAAGCCCTTAGAAGGGGTATTGCTTGGCTCCCAAAAAACGCACTGTGGCCTTTTATCTCCTGTTGGGCACTCATTCTGGTTCAAAGAACCCTTGTTTTCTTGGCACAGGTTCCTTTAAACCAGAGCTGCACTTTTGCATCTGATCCCTCGGGGGTGGAGTATTGACTTGTAGGCAGGGGCGGACTGACAACTCATGGGGCCCCTGGGAAATAGAGGATCATGGGGCCCCTGTGTCCTTGCCCAAACTCAAAAAAGCCTATGAAAAAGGTCCCAGGGGCATCTCATGGGGCCCCCTGCTGACCCAGGGCCCTCGGGCAGCGCCCGAGTTTTCAAATGGTCAGTCCGCCCCTGCTTGTAGGATGTTTCCATTTGATTTACAAACTGGGAAAAATTGTAAAAATGTTGCCAAAATCATTTCCAGGTTGATTTTGTACTGGGTGAGTTTGTCGTTCTAGAAGGTCTGGGGGGGGTCACTCCTTACAAATTAAAGGAAGTCGGAATTAATCTGTGCCCTCCTGCCTCTGTTGGGGCACCAACCATTGGGAAGCTCAGATTGAGCATCGCTGCAGAATGTGGTCCCTGCATGAACCGCAGCCTTCCAGCTGTAATGTTACCTTTGTACCTCCAACAGGATATCCCATGGGAGGCACCGGTCAACATGGCACATGCCAACACCATCATTGAGTATAAATGGCAGTTGAGCCCACTGCAGTGCACAGCATTCCATATCACTGAATAAAATGTGTAATAAAAACAGCACATTTACATTAGTTTAGGAGGCAGGAAGGAACCAAGGAAAGCAACATATATCCAGATGATACTTTATCTTTCAATGTGTTTTTCATGTATGTATACCGGAAATAAATACTTCTGACACCTACCTGTTTTTCTTCACATCTAGTGCCTGAATTTGAATCGGTATCACCATGGCCCGCTGGGTTTGCTGCGCCTCCCTACTTCTCCTCGCCCTCTCAGTCAACGCTCAGTATGAACGTTACAGCTTCAGAAGTTACCCCCGAGATGAGCTGATGCCCCTCGAGTCTGCCTATAAGTACGGGCTGGACCAGTACACAGGCGAGAACTGGCCAGAGAGCGTCAATTACCTTGAGATAAGCTTGAGGCTGTTCCGGCTCTTGAGGGACAGTGAGGCCTTCTGTAATATAAACTGCAGTACAGCCCGGGTAGATAACAACCCTCCGCCGCAGGGTCTGGAAAGTGGGAATCGGTCCCAGGGTCGGTTTAATGACTTCCCCGAGCTCAGGGTGTTTGGAGATGTTCTGATGAGAGCTCGCTGCCTGAAACGTTGTAAACAGGGACTCCCTGCCTTCCGTCAGTCTCAGCCCAGCAGAGAAACTATGCTGGAGTTCCAGACCCGGGAGCCCTATAAATACCTGCAGTATGCCTACTTCAAGACCAATAACCTACCCAAGGCGGTTGCAGCTGCCCATACTTACCTTCTGTTGCACCCTGATGATGAGATGATGAAGAGGAACATGGCCTATTATAAGAGTATGCCAGACTCCGAGAACCATATCCAAGATCTGGAGACCAAGAACTACGAGAATTTGTTCATCAGAGCTGTGAGGGCCTACAATGGAGAGAACTGGAGAACCTCCATCTCCGACATGGAGCTTGCCTTACCAGACTTCTATAAAGCATTCCAGGAATGCACGGCCTCCTGCGAAGGGTCCAGAGAGATCAAAGACTTCAAGGACTTCTATCCATCAGTGGCCGACCACTACACCGAAGTGCTGAGATGCAAAATGAAATGTGAGGATGACCTCACCCCCGTCATCGGAGGATATGTGGTGCAGAAATTCGTGGCCACCATGTACCACTATCTCCAATTTGCCTATTACAAACTCAATGACGTTCGGAATGCCGCCCCTTGTGCAGCAAGCTATCTGCTCTTTGACCCGGATGATGATGTCATGAAGCAGAACATGGTCTATTACCAATACCACAGGGAGAAGTGGGGCCTTTCAGAGGAGAAATTTAAGCCCCGGCCTGAGGCCGCCCTCTACTATAACATCACTACCAAACAAAAAGAGATGTACGAGTTTGCCATTCAGAACCTAGTAGATGACGATGAGGGAGATGTGGTGGAATACCTCGATGAACTTTTGGATGCAAATGATTTTTGAAAAAAAATTTTTATGGTGCTTTTCTTGGTACTGGACACTACAAAGTCTATGACTTTCTATGGGTTGGTGTCAACTGTTTTGATGTTTTTGGAATAAAAAAATATTGTAAAAGGCCAGAGAGTCATGGTGTATATTTGATGAGTAGCTAGATTTTAGATATCTGCATAAAAAAGAAAATGTCTCCCTCCGTACAGATTACCCCATGCCCTTTGGAAACCATAATTTCAGATTTCATCTGCAGAATGTGTATGACATTTGGTATTGCAAGCTCAGACATGACATTCATCAGGGTCAACGATATTTATTGTCTCGGGTACAGGGTTATTTAATGAAAGAACGTGCAAGCAACATTATCTGATGTCAACTAATCAGAAATAATTCCTCAACTAATCCAGGTGTATGAATTGGATTCTGGATGGTTGCTGTGGGAAAGGACAGCCATGCATGATCTGATGCCAGTGGCCGCTATAGAAATCGGGCAACAGAGGGCTCACCTAGGATGAGTTGTACACAACTTACCAACTTCTTGGTAAATCTTGGAGTGGATGGGCCCTTTTTTATCCATGTCCTGTGAAGAAAAAATGTTTAAATGTGTTGAACGTCCCAGCTACTCTGCCATGCTACCCAGAAGTTCACAGCCAGTTCTAGTGTTTTCAAGGACAGATATTTATCTCATTGCTTATTCTTTTTGGTGAGAGGTCTTCTAATACCCCTTTCAGATGAGTGTTCTAAACGCAGCTCACTGCTCTGCATTCCCTCAGTGGCAGGAGGACTACCAGTGCCAAACGTCATCTCCAAGTCATTCAAGTCCAGCGATGGTGAGTTGGCGGCTCCATCCATCCAGAGAGCAGCCATCAAAGTGTATTGTCTCCAGACATAGCGGGGATTGGATTGATAAACAGGATGGGGTCTGGAGATAGGTTGCTAAGTAGTTAGCTCTTCTGCCTGGCAGCAACAAGTGAATGCCAACCATGTTACTGCCTACATGGAGTTTGCATGTTCTCCCTGTGCCTGCATGGGTTTCCTCCCACACTCCAAAGACATGCTGGTAGGTTAATTGGATCCTGTCTAAATTGTTCCTAGTATCTGTATGTATGAATGTGAGTTAGGGACCTCAGATTGTAAGGTAGAGGTATTCTCATTCCAAAACCATGGGCTTTAATATGGATTTGCCCCGCTTTGCGGCTATAACACCCTCCACTCTTTTGCGAAGGGTTTCCATAAGATTTTGGTGCTGTCAGGTACTGATGTTGAATGAGAAGACTTGGATCACAATCAGAGTTCCAATCCATCCCAACGGTTTTCAGTAGGGTTGAGGTCAGGGCTCTATAAAGGCAACCTTCCACACCAACCTGGCCAAACTATATCTTTATGGAGCCAGCTTTGGTCTTCTATTGTATAATGTACAGGATGATGTGTATAATGTACAGGATGATGTGTATAATGTACAGGATGATGTTTATAATGTACAGGATGATGTGTATAATGTACAGGATGATGTGTATAATGTACAATAGGTCAGCATGATAGCTATTTCTGCCTCCCTGTACAAACATATAGTAGAGGGTGCAGCCAGGTGACTTATGCAAGTTCTTGAATTACTGCTTTTCCATTCTCCTTTTTTTTTTTTTTTCTATAAAGAAATGTACTTAGAAGGAAAGGAAACCTTTTATGTTCGAGAGACTGCTCACTCTTTTGGTTAAGGAGAAGACCAAAACACTCATCATGTATCACAGGGGTCTCTCTACTACAGTGCCTGGGCCACATCCTCCTGCTACAAGATTTTATCTGGTCTATAGCAACTGTCTGTAATAATGCCCTGACTGGCTGGCAGTGGAGGCGGTGGTATCTTAGAATGGAGAACAGCGCATATATTGCCAGTCAGCAGACATACCTCTCCCTGTCCCGAGCACAGATTACCCTGCCCCCTTCCAACCATGGTTGGTTGCTAGGACCACCAGCGTCCTAGCAACAATGACATGTTTGGCCTGCCCCGCCCCCCAGCATTTACAGTAGGACATCCACGCCTGCTCCAACCTCCCATCATCCGCCCTACTGCTCTGCTACCTGAATGCCTGGGGTCTCTGCTGGGCACTCTAAATGTATGGGGCACTGTGGTGGGCACTCCTGAATGTAAGGGAGGACTCTGTTGGGCACTCCTGAATGGATGGGGGCACTATGATGAGCACTCCTGAATGTAAGGGAGGACTCTGTTGGGCACTCCTGAATGGATGGGGGCACTATGATGAGCACTCCTGAATGTAAGGGCAGACTCTGCTGGGCACACATGGATGTGAGGAGGATCAATTATGCTGGGCACACTTGAATGTAAGAGGGCTCTGTGTGGCACACATGAATGTAGGGGGGGACTCTACTGGGCACTTCTGAGTGTAAGGAGGGACTCTACTGGGCACTCCTGATTGTAAGGGGGACTCTGCTGGCATTCTCAAATGTAAGGAGGGACTCTGCTGGGTACTCCTGAATGTAAGAGGGTCTCTGCTGGGTACTCCTGAATATAAAGGGGGGCTCTACTGGGCACTCCTGAATGTCAGGGGCAATATGATGGGCATTCTTGAATGCAAGGGTGGACACACATGGATGTGAGGGGGATTCAGCTGAGCACCCATAGATGTAAGAGGACTCTACTAGGCATTTCTGAATGTAAGGGGGGTTCTGCTGGCATTCTTGAATGTAAGGAGGGACTCTGCTGGGTACTCCTGGATGTGGGGGGAACCCTGCTGGGTACTCCTGAATGTAAGAGGGTCTCTGCTGGGTACTCCTGAATATAAAGGGGGCTCTACTGGGCACTCTTGAATGCAAGGGTGGACATACATGGATGTGAGGGGGCTTCGGCTGGGCACCCATAGATGTAAGGGGACTCTACTAGGCATTTCTGAATGTAAGGGGGGTTCTGCTGGCATTCTTGAATGTAATGCGGGACTCTGCTGGACACTCTTGAGTGTAAAGAGGGACTCTACTGGGCACACATGTATATGAGGGGGAACCCTGCTGGGCACTCATGGATGTGAAAAGGAACCCTGCTGGACACTCCTGAATGTAAGGGGAGAGCCTGATGAGCACTCCTGGATGTAAGGGGGAAAATGGTTATAAAACAAAATTTTTTCAGCTCAGTAGAATTTGTACAATATATAATGTGATCCTTATACTAAAAGGTTTGAAGACCCCTGGTGCAACAAAACTTCACAATCATTGCAGAGGGACAACTTTCATATAAAGACACATTGAGATCACTCCATTCACAACATCTGTTTATTATATTATGCCAGAATACAATACCACCATATTCCTGATACAAAGTTTTCAGATGTTAGGAAAATGGAGAATATTCAATGTAACAGATTCCGACCTAATGGGAGCTCATAGTGACCTATTTTATCTGGTGATTCCACATTCATTAAAAATGGCACCACTCTGCACTACAAAGTACATGTGTGTTGCCATGCTTTGCATCTCAGCGTGGTGTACTGTGCGTTCCATTGCATTGCAACAAAATGCAAACCGCACCTATATTTTTTATTTTGTGCTTTGAGGTGTGTTGCAGTCCATTCATTTTGAATAGCCTCAACGCCAGCAGGTATTTAGTTATAGCTTGTGCAGTCACCTTTATAAATTGATGTTTCTATATAAAATACACCAGAAATCAATATATAATAGGATTATTACATTGAGTGCAATATATACACCTGCCCATATAATACCACAATTGTGTCTTGAAATGGACATTTTTGGAAAAATCTTATCAAAATAGTGCATGGTGGTGAAATTACCATATACATTACGCTCTTATGAACCAACTTCAACCTAAAAAAAAGGAGCAAAATTCCAGGAGAATAAAGGCAGTTTTAGAGCTGAAAATGTTAAAATAGAACTAAAGGCGAAACATTTTTTTTTTTCATTTTGGTTAGAGTAAGGGAAGGTTATAACCCCTTTCAGTTTTTTCCTTCTGTACCCCATTGTGGAGATTTAGCTCCACTTCCTGTACCATAGCCAAAACGAAAATACCTCCAAAGTGAGGAAATCCCTGGTTGTCACCGGAACTATTGTCTCCATTGGAAGAATTCGCCTCATTTTCATTCTGGTGACAACCCAAAATGTTGGGATTTTCTTATACTCTCACTCTTGGTGATACCTAAGACATAAAAGTGAGATCAATAGATAATTGTCCTAAAATATAAAAGTGAGATCAACAGATAATTGTCCTAAAACATAAAAGTGAGATCAGTGAGACATTCTACACTTCTGAGAGTCACCCACCTCCTTTCAACCCAACACTATGTGGTTCAATCCACCCTCCCCTGGATTCAGAAGTGGCATAGGGATCAGAGGATGGAACCACAGCACATGGGGGGACACAGGCAGGGGCGGACTGACAACTCATGGGGCCCCTGGGCAATAGGGGATCATGGGGCCCCTGTGTCCTTGCCCAAACTCAAAAAAGCCTATGAAAAAGGTATCAGAGGCATCTCATGGGGCCCCCTACTGACCCCGGGCCCTCGGGCAGTGCCCGAGTTTCCAAATGGTCAGTCTGCCCCTGGACACAGGCATCTTACACTCCCAGAAGTGTTGAATGCAGAAGAGGCTTACAAAGGCTGCATTGCTGGAACAGAGAGATAAGAGGCAAGGGTGGTCAGTGAGGTGTCCCTCATGGGGTTTATTTACTAAAGCTGGAGAGTGCAAAATCAGGCTCACAGCTGCAAAAAAAAAACAGTCAGCTTCCAGGTTTTATTGCCAAAACTTAATTGAACAAGCTGATTGGTTTCTATGCAGAAGTGAGCCTGATTTGCACTCTCCAGCTTTGGTAAATAAACCCCCATTATGTCTTCTAATGCAGTGGACCTTAATGTGAGTATACTTTAAACCTGCCAAGGTTGCTGTAATGCCAATTGAAGACCCTCCACCACGTCTTAACTCACTATTCTCATCCAACTTGTTAAAAAAATACAAAAGGCGGCATGCAGGGGCTTGGTGAAGGTGGTGGT